TCGTTCCTGCAGGGCGGGGTTCTGTCGCATGCTATTCTGACATGTCTAAACGTACTTTTCAGTTTAATGTTATCTCCCGGCGAAACAAATCGTTCGGAGTCAAGAATTGAGGCAAACTGGAAAGAGATCGAGGGAGCAGATAATCCACTCGCCTTTCAAGTCCCATGTTCACATGGAACTTGTGATGTACTATAAGCTTCCGTCAGTGGTATATTTTCCTTAACCTTTTTGGCCACGGGTTTTATTGAGATATGGCCAGTTTGCTACTTCTGATACGAGTGCGTCCACCAGAGTTTCAGGTTGCTATCATTTTCCAGTGCCCACATTATTATTACGGAGATGAAAAAGATTAGCGACTGATGCTAGCTGCTGAAGCATCTAACGGGCTTCCGCTGACGTTGTGGTGTGGTTATTTTACTCTCATTGGAACTTGTTATGTTGCTCAGCCCGGGGATAACATCAGTTACACTTGCTAGAATAACTTGGGGTCTGTTAGGGGATTCCCAAGGCTATATTTAGAACGGATCTATGAATCACCCACTTTTCACATCGAAGCTCTCCTTTTGAGACCTCTTGGTCTAACTGCTTCCCTTTGTCAAACGCTAAGGCTAACAAGTTGTTCAATTCCATGAAACACGGAAAAGCTTCTTCAAGACGGAAACATTGAGTGGCAATAAAAAGAAAGCCACAGGGTTCCAGACAAAAGTGTGAGTCTACAAAATAAATCTGAGGCTGGCTGCGTGAAACAGTGGAGCATCCCCCGAACCTACAAACCCCGTTTATTCCTCGAAGATGAGAGATTCTAGACAATTTCCTGTTTCTTCGCTGCAGGTGTTGTGAAACCGACACCATTCGGGGTTTTCCTTCCTCTGCCATTAGGCTGTCATATACCCACGTGAATAGCTGCAGTGGAAAGAAACGCGCTGATGCTGTGTTGTATGACGTGACTCTGAGCTTTCACTTCGTTGAAGCTCATCAGCAGAGTTGCACAGCCGTGCCACTTCTGAATCCAAATGTGTGGGTTCATCGTTCACAGAATACGCACTACAGATAGGTCTTCTGGAGATTTACAACATTGTGTCGACCATCGCTAACAAGTCGCTGCTGGGAATCGACATAAGCGCTGTGGGCATGGTCTGCACTGAGCGTGGTAGTTTCAAAAGGAGCAGTTTGAGAGAAGGCTGCCTGTCTGGTGTTCGTTGCCCAGTGACTCCTCGCACTCATGTATGCAGGCGAGTGGCCGAGTCGCTCACTAGCTTGACGTTATACAGCAATTCATCTGAGCGTTAAAGACTTGTCACATCACTTCTCCTCAGAGTGGGTGTTTGGAGCGGCATACAAAAGTCAGTTACATTAGGGTTGAGTATATGTTGCCTGTTGCGCTCCTACTTTTAAGCCTATGTCCTCATATAGTTTACGCAATCGTGAATGCACTGTACTTGTAGAAAAGCGCCGCCTTACACTCAGGTCATGATCCTGGCTCCTCTCCGTATAATGAACCTAAAGAATACTGTTTACCTCTCAAAGCCACTACGGTACGCCGCCCTCCCCCGCCGAAAAAATATGAGAACCTCATGATGGAAGGACTATGTAGTTGACTTCGCACATATAGGTGAAAATGCACACAAAGTCCGAATAATTAAAAGAAAAAATGATGGAGACCTCTCTCTTCTCCAAATTTGATAGCGTAATGATCTCTCTTTCCATATTTGCTCGTGCTTCTTCTTTCTTTTCCCATTTGTAGAAACAGCTGCAAGTCGACATTTGGTGTTCAGATTCTGTCTGAACGTGATTACTTTATGGGAATAACACCTGCCTATTGACGCCAATAATTATTTGACTGCTCCCACTCTTTCGCAAATTCTGGACGATCTTCAAGATTAACTCACCTACTGGTCATGATTTTTCTTGCAACCAACCATCTGACCATTCCCAGCAGTATTAGTAGCAGAGACATTCTGAACAGACGATCAAACCAGAGACCAATTAACATATTGGCTCAGGACGTCACTTATCTGCAATGGCTCCACGCTAAACATTTTCTAGTACTCTGTACCAAGGGACCTTTTCATATGAAACTTACTATGCATCAAATACACTTCTCGAATGATGCCTATGCTAATACAAAAGATACCCGAAGTCATGCATAAATACTGCCATTTAGACCATTAACTGTTTCAACATCTATTTTCATCCAATACAACAACTACCCCTAGCAGAACTAACCTATATTACCTTTAAACGCAACATGGTGACCTGAAAATGCATTGATATGGCCATACACGTTGGTTGTTTAACTGTAGATACTTTATTGACACTCCAGGTAGTATAAATGGGTCCTTTATAGCTAGCAAGGCTAAAAACTGAAGATAATTCTAAGTAACAAACTGTTATATTACTAATTAGCAAGCTACGCGAATGGACTAACAACATCGGTTGACTATAACGCAAACTTCGAACATCGCGCTTTTGATATTGATAATGGAACTTGTCTGTGAGATGGGAGACGGAAATCCATATCCGTCTCATGAATTTCAGCGAATTTTAATCAGATTATGCACATTAATGACTTGATATGTAAATTATTTAATACTAGATACCAGTTCGTAAACTTTCAAAACTTATGAATTTGATGGTGCTTGTAAACTGGTATCCCTCATGTTAAACCCGTTAAATGACGACAATATTCAGTACTATCCAAGCTTTAACACTCTATGCACGCTGTAAAGTAATATTTCCTTGTTCGTCTCACAACTAGCAGGAATTTCGGCAGTTTTTAACTGAGTTCAATGACATTCCGTCTATACCACTCAGGGCCCAAGTCTTGTAGATATTTTGGGATGTTTCAACGTGATGAAGCCTGTAAACTGGCTTCTCTTATGTTAAAACTTTTTAAACGTGAGAATAAAACATTTATTCATTTACGTGCTGTGGCGCCCCTGCTTAATTAGCGCGATAAAGATGGTGTGACAGCGTAAAATTCAGAATGAGGATCCATGATGCGCCGTTTCCGGAAATCGGTCATGGAGCGCAGAAACCACTCCTCAGCGTTGTGTGACAAGAAAGACACAAGGTGGTTTGGGCGTGTTGTCGGTTTGACACGGATAAGTTTGAGATGCTGTTTGCACATCTGTGCAGCGACCCACAGTGCATGTATATTAGTTATTAGCATGACAGTGAAAATACACAGGTACAAAAAGGAGCAGACTCATCAATTAAGTAGTTACCCTTACGCGAACTCAACAGATGCAAAGGCCAGTCACCAGTTCTTCTCACTTGTGAGGTGCTCACGAGTGCGATACCAAGAAAGAACACAGTACGGTAGTGAGGTAGGAGCGGTATATCTGAGAGACGGTACCAAAATACCGGCACGTTTCGACTAGCTGGATAGAGGATCGTGGACGAGCAACTCTGTGTGACACAACGCGCCAAATGGCACATGTTTGACCATGTGTCTTCATTTCAGCCAGCCCATCAAAACCATAAAGGTTAGCATTGATCTTGAATCTAGACGGAACCTAGGATATCGATTTTCGAGAGTTACTACCCGCTGGACAGTGGCTATGCAAAGGAGGTTTTGTAGGGCAGCCGAATTCATGATTTCGACTGAAGTATTATTACTGGCCGAGCATGACATTTTCAGAAGAATCCTACCAACCAAAAATCGAAGTCGAAGGGGCACAGAAATATGGATCACAGGATAGGTTTTATTGTGGTACCCTGAGAAAAGTAGAAGCTATTAACAGGAAAGTGAAAAAACTATGGCCTAAACGTTCGAGTGTCGTGCAGTTGTGGAAATACAGTTTCGAAACAGCTATCAGCCGGGAACAACGTCAAACCAACCCTCATCATTTTATGAATCGGAAATATTAAAGAATAAGTTCCTGAGAGGACACTACTATTAGGTTGCCTTCCGAATGAGATGTGGAATGTATGAAGCGCAAATACCATGATGTAGTGGGCGCCGGGGGATTTTGCCGAGCGCATAATAAGCAACAAACAGGCAGACGTTTCTGTCTGATTTTGTCCAGACAGACTTCCCTGCACGATTATATTATAGAGGCTGTTAACGTGATCCTGATTGGCAGATGTCAACCGACGATTAATTTCAGTGGTTCAGTGCTTAATGGTGGATGACTAAGAAGGAGTAAAAAGTTAGTTCTCTAAAAAATGACGCACATACTGAAACGTGACAGCATACAATGTTACGTGAATCAGCCTGCAATTAGTGTCTCGCGCAGGCAGCTGAAAGTGACACGACAGCGTGATAAATAGATGTGCTTGATCATGAACCTACAAGTAAATAATTCATCAACTACCATGAAGGCGTACATAAATCTTCACCGTCACTGAATTATGGGCTGCTGATTTCGGATCCGCGAGCCGCTGGAAAGTGTTCTGCCTTAGCGTTTGAGTTTGGCTCTGAAAAGCAAGACAAGATATGAATATAGGCTTACGTTTCTAGATGGCCCGAGGACGTTGATGGAAAGTTCTGTGAATCAAATGATCCTCACAAACTTGTGTCATAGTTATTAAAGAACCGGACTATCAACGCCGTACATCTAAAATAACAATTTCGTGAAATTTACAGTCGTTCACTGTTTGTGTAAATTCACTCAAGAGGACATCTCAATCCCCTAGCTAAAATCCAAGGGTGAATCTTCAACGTCTGGTATATCTTTCCACAGATAAAGCTACAAACCACTAAAGATGACTGCATGCTATTTCATCATTTAAGCGGAACATGGTCTCCATACCATCACAGAACGAAAGGACCAGTACTGTTCATTAGGCTACTATACATTTTCAAGAAGACTGGAAAATGTTAACTAGTTATTAAGATATGTGGTTAAAATATCAGCATATGTCTAACTTCAAAGGTCATATTTGTATAATATGCTGGTAGCCGTAAAAAGAGACTATCTATGTCCTGACAATCGGTTTTAGTTTATTGGACATCTTTATAAATACCATTGGACATAACGTTCAAGGTGGAGTTTAATGCGGAAACGCGGTAATCTGGGTTCTGCACGCATCACTGGATCAAGTGGTTCACGATGCAGATTTTTGTCAAAACACTTACAGGGAAGACTATAACGCTTGAAGTTGAGCCTGCTGATACAATAGAAGCAGTCAAAGCCAAAATCCAAGACAAAGAAGGTATACCCCCAGATCAACAGCGTCTTATATTCGCTGGTAAGCAACTTGAAGATGGACGAACATTGTCGGACTATAATATACAAAAGGAGTCAACCCTTCACCTTGTCCTCCGTCTTCGTGGTGGTATTATTGAACCAACTTTGAGGGCTTTAGCTCAAAAGTACAATTGTGAGAAAATGATTTGCCGAAAGTGTTATGCACGCTTGCATCCTAAGGCCACAAATTGCCGTAAACGAAAATGTGGACATACTAGTAATGTACGACCTAAGAAGAAACTCCGTTAAACCTTATTTTAAGTGAATACACTTTGTATGCGGATCTTGCTTTTTCATATCTCTAGTGTCAAATTGGTTCAGATTTTGATTGTCATGCTTTTATGTCGTGAACGATTGTTTACTTTTTAGCTTAGAGTCCGGTAAATGTCTGTGTAGGAGAGTCAGTTATATGATTGTTTAGCTTGTCTTTGTCTCTAATGGTATGCAATACATCAACAGGATGAGAATCAGTTTTGGTTTGGTTGGATTTCATGTGACTGATTCCCACTCGTGAATACTCATGAAATATAAATCCAAACTTTGTTGTCCTGTATATCTTCACTAGACCGAACTCCACTCCCATGCTGCAGGTAAGCTTTTCTCTCCCATTTTGAATATAAAGGATGGAGTGATGGAACGCGATGACCGCTTCACTTACGTGATGAGTTCGGTCGGCCCGAACAAAATTTCGGTGTGCATTTCTCACTTGGCATCATCTATGACGCTGGCTGGAGAGATATCCGACTACCTACCAAAGGAGTATACTGCTCTACAGTCTATTCTGTCCTGTTATAGGGTTATAGAATATGACCATTGAAAGTGGGAGACAAGAAGCACTTACATAGTTTAAGCCATGGCATAGCTCGCGTTTGGTGGAATCACTGTGCAGTGTTGTAGGCAGGCGGAGGATGCCGCGGAGGTTAAGGTTGTGAACCTTCATCTGCTGAAATAGCTTGGACATCGCTGCATACCTCGATGTGTCATGGTAATACAAGCTGGATTAGGTTGGAAGAGGGTTCATAGTGGCCAGACTTAGACGTACCAGTCGATGAAGTCCATGACTGTTGGTATCAGCCGTGTGGGGAGATTTATTTTGTTTGGCTGGGGTTTCCTAGACCATAGGAATCAGTGTTTAAGGATCCTTGGTGACGCATGAAAACTCATCAAAATGGTGCAGATGTATCCACTTTTTGGCCTATTCTAAAGGTTAGTTGTTTGCACTATCCGTTATCTTCAAATTCTCTAGTACAACTTGATCTTGTTTAATAACAATTTTTCTATCCATCTCCTTGGTACGTTACTGTGAAGTGTGACAGCTTGTGCACTTGTCTGCGAGACAACGTTGATTTTGTTTGTTCGTCTATTGGTCATTTCATAGTCTGTGACTTGACTGTATGGCGAAGGCAATCAGAACTGTCTCAACATTCTATAGTCTCTTCGCTAAGATAAGACGGTGTACAAAGAATTACTTCGAAGTTTCCAGTCAAACCCCGCTTCATACGCTGTCCCCTATTTTATGTGCAAAGCTCGGTTTATAGTTTTTGTTGTTGACTAGGTTACTGTGGATGTGTAACCAGTATGCAGCCTGTCAGCACCCGGTAAACCTTGTACTATAGATCACCCCTACAGACTAGTTTCCAAAAAGCTGGTCTTATCAGTGCCCTTATGTGAAAGCACCATCATCTTATGAAGCCCAGCTACCTCATAGAGCAGTGACGTTGGCATGTTTTCCTTTAAACCACAGTTCAACTTAAGGAATTTGTCTGTGGTCTTGTGATAATACGTATTTGGATCAAATTAGTTTACGGTGGCTTGGTAAGGGAGTAAGTTTTCCAGCCAAAATGTCTTCGGTCATCAAACCTCCAAGGATAAGTAGTTTTAAGTTAACTGTATGGCTTTTTTAGGCCTCAGGAGAAATGTGACATCGCTCAAGCAAACACGTATAACTATTTTGTTCACGAATTCGTTATACATCTTAACCTCTACCAAAGTCAACACTTCAACGATGTAGCTGGTATGTTTCTGAAAGTATTGTTTACTGTAGTCACTACGTCAGGAATGCTACATAGTGACAACAGTAGTTTATGGTCACAGATAGAATTCAGGAAATTTTTGTATCTGTTTACACGTAGACGTTATGTTAGAGACTGGTGCGTCAACAATTTTACTGATAAAGAGGTCAGAAATATATAATTTCCTTTCCCTAGACTCTCTAAGACGGTGGCGTTGACAGTGGCACTCAATCTCCTTATGTGCCATCACCTGGGAACCAATGAGAATTGGTGAGCAAAGAAGTAACTTTCAAGTTTTTACTGCGTAACGGTCCGAGTTGCCACACCTCATATCAGTACATCAAGTAAAAAGGTAGTGAGGTGAAGGACGAAGATAAGTGAATGCAGTCAAAAGAAGTATAAAGTACGAGAAGAAAGGAAAGAGGAGTGACAAAATGCTGAGATTCGGTATAGCGTTGTTAAGATGACGATAATGTGTGTGGGATACATTTGTGCCACTCACATCGGTTCTCACCCATATCACCTAGTCTCCAACCAGTGGTTCCTCTTGTCCCGTGGACCCCAACCACCTAGTCTACATCGTCCTACATGGCTTAAACCAACAGTCAAAGACTTCATGCATTGGTGCCATGTTTTAGTCTGGCCACCTCGGGCCTTTTTCCAGCCTGGACCTACTTCGATCAACATTGTGTGACGAGTTAATCGGTGACTAGGCATACTTAGTACGTGTCCCAACCATCTCAATCGATAAAGGTTTATAGCCTCGTCAACTGACTTACCTCTACTCCCTAAAACTCTACACCTAACTTCTGCATTACTCACGTGCTGTGGTGACACCACGGAATACGTCCTATACTACGAAGGCAACGGTGGTCAAACACCTGAAACCTTTTTATATCTTCCACTTTCAATGTCCATGTTTCACAGCCACACAGTAGAACAGAGCGGACTGCTGTGCAGTACACGCGACCCTTAATAGACAAACGAATATCACGGCGGCGCCATAGGTGGCGCAAATTGGCAAAAGCCAATCGAGCCTTTTGTATCCGTGCACAGATCTCATCGGCAACTGACCAACGCACCAGGGTGGTCGACACACTCAACCACTTCACTCTCTATTGTTAGCCGCGGTACCGCTGAAGTCCTGGAGCAAAAATTTGCATTTGGGTGGTGAAAATCGCATCCCAAACATTCTCAAATTCCCACTCAAAGTGTTCAGAAGACTCTGCATCTTGTCAGCGTCTTCACCTAACAGGACTATGTCATCTGCATATTCTAAACTAAAGGAAAATTCACCTGTGATTCGGTCAACGTCTGTGTAATTAGGTGACGAGAGGGAAACCTCCATAAGAATATCTATGATAAAATTAAATAAGAATGGGGATAGTGGGCATCCTTGACGGACACCACTTGATGAGTATAGCTCCCTGGACAACTCACCATAGGCTCTAACATGCCCACAAGTGTTCGAGTAGAGAGCTTTCAATAAGGTGATGTACTTACTAGGCACGCCTTTCAGTGACAGACACTGCCATAAGACTTCTCGATCAACGGAGTCAAATGCCGCCTTCAGGTCGAGAAATACAGCTATTGTCGGGCGTCTGTAAGCATGCCTATGTTCCAGGACCTGGCGCAGTGTGAATATTTGGTCGATACATCCACGGCCAGGTCTAAAGCCTGCCTGGTTTTCTCGGGCTTGCTGTTCCCGAGCTCCACTCAGGCGTCGGAGAATTATAGAACTTAGGATCTTAGACACTATGTTTGTCAGGCTGATTCCTCTGTGGTTATCACAAGAGGACTTCTCGCCTTTCTTGAAGACTGGGATGATGAGTGACTTAGACCAGTCGGAGGGGATCGTATTTGATTCCCATATACTGGCTAACACTTCCGTTAGCCTGACTAAGAGCACTCTACCACCATTCTTGTATACCTCAGCAGGTAGTCCGTCTGGTCCTGCTGCCCTTCCCGTTTCAGGCTACCTACCGCTTTCTCAACTTCTTCTAGTGTTGGGGGACCTGTCTCTATGTCCCATTCAGGGTCCGACTGGATAGCGGGCAGCGCAATGGTGGCTGGAGGCCAGTTAAACTGTTCCTCGAAGTGTTCTGCCCATCGTTCCAGTCGCCTTCCCTGCGAGTGAATCGCAGATCCGTCCTTCTCCGCTATAACCTCACTAACTGTTGTTGACCATTTCCCCCCAGTCTCCTTAATAAGTCTAAATAACTGTCTACTGTTACCGATCGCCGCTGCCTTTTCCATCTCTTTAGCCTTTGCTGCCCACCACTGTTCACGATCGTTGCGCAGACTTTTCGTCAGTTATTTTTAAGTTGCGCTCGCTCTTCATTGTACTCAGAGCCTGCAGGGATGCATTCACGTGCATCCATTAGTTTGGAAGAAGCTGCTGATATCCACTGGCTCTTTTTAGCCATTATTTTGGAGTCGGCTACAGTCTCCAGTGCTGCTTTTACAGTAGACTGAAGATGGCACCAAGCTTCTTCTGGATGAGTGACAGTCTTTTGTTCCGATAACTGCCTAGCCAACTTCTCACTGAACACGGCTTTGGTGTTTTCGTTGTCCAGCAGAACTCGTAGTGGTTTTGTTGCCAAATTTTTTCTACGTCCATTGAGACGCAGGCATATACGTGCTCGGACCAACGCATGATCGCTGTCCAAACACGTACTCCAGAAGGAGCGGCAGTCTTCCACCGATCCTCTCCAGCGATGACTAATAGCAATGTGTCCATCGCTGAGTCGAGCTCGGTGGACGCCAGGTCAGACAGTGCCTTTCTTTATGTCTGAAATTTGTGCTGGCTAAAAATAGGCGGTTATCTGAGCATAGTTGTAATAGGCGATCACCGTTATCTGTACGTTCAGCTGGGATTCCGAAAGTGCCACCTAAGTGCCTTTCTGCCTCACTCAGTCTACCCACCTGTGCGTTGAGGTCACCTGCAACAACCACTACGTCCGAACGTTTGGCTTTCGAGAGGAGGTTAGACAGTTTATGGTAGAACTCGTCCTTCACTTCATCCGAACTACAGTCAGTGGGTGCGTAAGCAGAGATTACAAAGAGACAACGGCGAGTCTCACTATTCCTTTTAGTTCTCACTGTGCCGTTCAGCCTCATAGCGCAGAGGCGACTATCAACTGGGATCCAGTCTAGTAGTGAGTTTTCTGCCCTGGTGCTTAATGCTATACCTACACCTGCAAGACCACGAGAGCTAGCTATCGAATCTCCAGAAACTCGAAGGGTGAATTTTGTGGATTCACCAGAT